AAGCATTCCTGACATTCTAAACTCCATGGAGTCTCTAGAGCCTTCCTGTGTTCTAGATTCTGCTGAGCCCTATATTGTCCCCCACCCCCAGCGTTCTGGATGCTCTTCCACTGGCTTCGAGAACCACACTACCATCCCAACTCCGTGGGGTTCTAAACTCCATCTTGGTAGTTCAATGCCTCTTTCTCTCACCCCACCCTGGGGCAGTAGTCTCTTGGGGTTGCTTGGTCCAGACTCGGATTAGATCCACCTCTATCCTCTAGGCCCCTCCCACTTTGGCCCGAGTTGTAGACTAAGAGGAAGGCTGTGCTCCCATTCTCCAGGCCACCTCCCTATCACATCGGGTATTCCTGGGATCTATGGAGGATTCAGCTTTTGTTCTAGACTCCCCTGTCCCCAACCCACTACTGCTCACCTGCCCATGCATGGCTCCAGTTTTACTGGGAACCTCTCACCCCCTGCCCAGTGCCTGCCACTCTCTGGGACTCTCTCCCCTCCTCCCCCACCTCCCCCTCCTCTTCCCTTAGCCTCTCCCACCCGGACACAGCTGCTGGAGAATAAATTTGGGATGCTGATGCTGAAGTGTTGGGATGTTTTCTTGTAAGCTTGGAGAATGAAGGGAATGTGGAGGTGGGACAATGACGGTACATAGAAGCAAACAGAGGCGGGGAGGGGGGTTGCACACAGAGAGAGGGAAAGTAAAGAGTCTCCCCGCCAAAAAGAGAAGATACCCACAGCATGAGAGAGGGAAGAGAAAAGACCCCCGAGAGATAGGGTACACAGAAAGAGAGCGAGCCTGCTCTAGAGAGGACCAAAGTGGATACTCAACACAATGAGAAATGTATACCTAGACCATTCAAAGTACAAGGTAGAGATCCCTTGCACAGAGACACGGCATCTACATATCTATCCAGAGCAACATGCAAGGGCGTGCGTGCACACACATGCTTACGCACACACACATACCCACACACCAAGATCCAAACCTGGGAGGTCCTGGGAAAAGACATGAAAGGTTGGCCTCTCCTAAACAGAGACCTGAAGACTTGATTAGAGAAAGAGACCTCACAATGGAGAAATCAAAACAACCAGAACCCTGCAGCTCAGTGGGCGAGTAAGTCAGAAGGAAGGTAGAAGTGTCCTCTGGCCTGTCCCCCCACACCCGACCCACTCGTAACTGGGGGGCAGGAGGGGAGTAGAGGGGCCCGTCCATAAGGACTACACTTCCCAGCAGACACTGCGACAGACCCTTCCCTCAGGTGCGGCCCCTGGCCGCCAGGGCTGATGGGGAATGTAGTCCCTGGACGGGACAGGCCGGCAGAGTGGTATGCCTGTCTATGCGTTTGGAGGGGATTGAGCCCCAGAGCTTCGCAGGCCCCCTTGAGGGCCTGGCATACTTTCTGGTCTGCAGGTTCCTGGGTTTCTGGGCCCCAGTCCAACTGGATGCTGAGGCTTCCTCTGTCTCCCGTATCATTGCCGCTGTACCCCCCATTCTATGCCCGCAGGCCCCAGCCCCCGCTTCGACCCTCGGCGGGCGGCCTGCCCCTTTAAGAGTGGCCCCGCTGACATCCGGGGGGGGGGGGGGGTTGGCCCCGCTCCCAGCTCCGCGGCGGCTGCAGGACCCGGCTCTGCTCCTCTGCGCCCGCCTGCTGCTCTGGGGACCCCGGCCCGGGACGCCCCCTCCCGCCTCCTCCAGTCCCTGGCCTGGCTAGAGTTCCAGTCTTTATCAGGGAACCCCACCACCACCCCCGGCTCGCCCCTGCTCTCTCTCCTTCTCAGGGTCTGTCTCTGTTTCTCTTTCTGTCTCTTCTGCCTCTTTCTGTCTCTGTCTCTCTCTTCCCCAAGCTCAAGGTCTCTGGATCTCAGCATCTCTCGGCCCCAGGCTTTTGAGCGCTCTCTGCCTCTTTCTTTCTCTTTCTGGGTCTCTGACCTCTCCACTCCCTCGGCCTTAGAATCAGAGCCTCGGTAGTGGAGGGGGTAAGGGATCTTAAAGTCCTCTGTGTCTCCCTTTCCCTGTCTCCTACGGTCTCAGGACCCGTGGGTCCCTGACTCTCTCAGCCTCAAGGTCTCTGCCTCTCTCTCTCTCTCTCTCTCTCTCTCTCTCTCTCTCTCTCTCTCTCCTGTCTCTCTTTGTGCCTGTCCCTCCCGGGCGCTCTGCCTCTGTTCCCATTCTCTCTCCCTCTCTGCCTCCCCCATCCCCAAGGCCCATCTCCCTCCCTCCCTCCCTGCATCCTTCCCCCTCCCTCCCCGCCCCTCCCCTCCTCCGCAGTAGCCAATGAGCGGCCGCCGGTCCCTGCTCCCGGCTCCGTCCGCCGAGTGAGGCCGCGGGCGCGGGGGGTGGGGGGTGGGAGGCCGGGAGGGGGCCGGGACGCCGGGCTCCGGGGCGGGGGCGGGGGGCGCGGGCACCGGCGACCCCGGTGGCGGCGGCGGCGGCCGGGGGAAGCCGCGAGGCCGGTCATGCGGCTGCGGGGCCCGCGGCCCGGAGCGTCCGCCCAGCCCTGAGCGAGGTGAGCGCGAGGGGAGGGTCCTGGAAGGCCGGGGGGGCCCCTGGAGGAGAGTGGAAGCCGCAGCTGGGACCGAAGGGGCCTGAGTGGCGGCTGGGGTGGGACTCCGGCGGTCAGGACGCCCGAATTCAGGAGGCTGGGGGGGTGTAGGGGAAATTGGGCCTGGCGATTCCCGGAGGACCGGGTCCGAGGGTCCCGGAGCCGGGAAACTATACTCCCAGCGCCGGTGTCTCAGAGACCGTTGCCACTGGGGAGGGTCTAGGCAGAGTCCTTGAGAGGCGGTACCTGGAGTGAGGGTGGAGGGCACAGGCCGGAAAAGCCGGGTGTGAATCTGGAAAGGGGTCCCCAGAAAGGGGGAGTTACCGTCTCCCCAAGAGATTGAAGGGAGAAGGAGTTCGGACTGCGGGTTAGAGGAGTAGGACCCCAGGGACTCAAATGCCTGGGGTAAAGGACGAGAAGGAGGCTCCAGGCCTGGGGGGAGGGTCCCATAGGAGGATGGGCTGCAGAATAAGGAGCTCTGGGCCGGCCAGGTAGAGGGGAGGCTGGAGCGAGGAAGGCGCGTGTTCGAAGGGGTGCAGACCGGCAAGATCCCAGCTGGGTGTGGAGGCAGACAGAAGAAAGTGTCAGCTACCTGGACAAGAGTGTCGGCGACGGGGTTTAGGATGCTTGCTTCCCAACTGAGAGGACTGGAGCCGAGCAGGCAGCGGGCGGTCAAGCCCTGGAGCCAGCCGGTGGGGGTTGGGAGAAAAGCTAGCTAGAGCTTTGCCAGTCCCTGATCCCTGGGGGGGATCTTGATGCTGTGAATAGGAGGGTGGGGGCTTGTCTTAGACTCCGGGGTCCTTATTGGGGTGGGACAGAGTTTCAAAGTTTCAAGAATTCTAGTTAAGGAAGGTGGAGTCTCACGTCTTGGTTACATTGTTTGGCGAGTATTTAGGGGGTCTCAAACTTTTCTGTCAAAAAGATGATGGATAGAGCTGGTATTCGGGGATGTTGAGGTCTCTGGCTGAGATAGGCTGAGGACCCCAAGGTGAGCCCCCATATCATGGCATTGTGTGGTTTAGGGGAAGGGGGATATGGGGATTGCAGGTGAGGAACTGGAAATCCTTCCGTTTCATGTTTAGGGGCCTCCTGGTTGGAATATCTGGGTTGCCAATTGGACTTTGGGAGACCATAGGTATGAACTGGGGATTTCTTGTTCAGAGGGTTCAGTGTTGGTATCTGCATTCCATGGTTGATGTTGAAGAGTGTCTGTTATTAGAAGTCCTAGCATGAGAAGTCAGGGGCAGAATCTCTGGTAAGGAATTTTTGGGTCATTTGATGGGGGATGGGATCCTAAAATTCCTAGTTCTCTGATTTCTAGCCAGCAGATGAGGATCCTAGTTTTACTGGGATGCTCTGGTTGGGATGCTGGGTCAAGAGTACCCCCAGCTTGTTGTTTAGGCATTCTGGAGTCTCTAGTCAAGATCATGGTTCCAGGTCTCTGGGTCTCACTGTCCTGGGATCCAGAAGCCTGTAACCAAGACCCAGTATCCCAGGTTCAGGGGCTGCCTGATCTGGGAGGGTGAAATTAGGGTTCTGGGATTTTGGCTCTGGATTGTGGCAGTGATCTTAGATTGGAGTGCCAAATTGAGGTCAAGGCACAGGATCAGCTTTAGAAGGTCATGGGTCAAGTTCATGGTGTTAGAATGGGGTGTTAGGGTCAAGTCCGAGAGTTTAAGCTTTTTGGGGCCTCTGCTCAAAGTCTCAGGTAAGCTTGAAGTCAAGGGTCTGAAACCAAGATATGGGGGTTAGGAATTCTTGATTAGTGACCCACTTAGGAGATTTCTGCAGTTCAGAGACAGGGTCCAAAGGAAAAATATCGTGGCATTGGATCAGGGCATGGGTTAGTTTCTGAATAGGTCAAGTTACACAGCATCCAGAATCTAAGCCTACTGCGCCAGGTGCAGGCACCTAAGTCCTGGCTTAATGTTGAGATGATGGGTACTGGTCTGGGAGCTTAGGTCAGGACAGAATAAGGGTTGAAGCTGCCTGTCAGCCTAATAGTTCTCTGTCACCAAGTCAGGCTCAAGGTTGGGGACTCTGATTCTAAGACCAGGTTCTCAGTTCAAGGCAGGAGGTTAGGGCTGGGAGTCTGGTGATGGAATTGAAAATCTGGAATTAGAATTTGTGATAAAAGCCATGACATTTGGAACCAGGTCCAGGCCTGGGATAAGTAGATTTGAGACTTGTGGTTGGAAATCTAAACCTGGGGTTAGGAACCTGGAGCCAGAGCACAGTTAGCAGATACCAGAAGGCCCATCCTGAGGTTGAGGGTCAACAGTTGGTGGCTCCAGTCAGTATGCAGGGCCGGGTGGTGGCTCAGGACACAGAATTCGTGTCTGAGAGTTTGGTTGTGGAGTTAGCTTTCTGGCCAGGGCCCCGTATACCAACTGGCCCCACAGGTTGGGGACTTGGGTGAATCCGCTCGTGGTTCTGCACCTCAGATTCTGGTTCCGCAGGCCCCGCAGGGCGCCCCCCGCCGCTGAGGATGAGTCACTGCAGCAGCCGCGCCCTGACCCTGTTGAGCAGCGTGTTCGGTGCATGCGGCCTGCTCCTCGTGGGCATCGCGGTCAGCACGGACTACTGGCTGTACATGGAGGAGGGCACTGTGTTGCCGCAGAACCAGACCACCGAGGTCAAGATGGCGCTGCACGCTGGCCTCTGGCGAGTCTGCTTCTTTGCAGGTGCAGCAGCTCACCTGCTCTTTGCCCACCTGTCCAGCCTTGCCCGGGACCCTGAGTATTTATCCATAGTCCCCGTTCCCGAAATCCAGAAGCCGACCCTGCTTCCCTTCTGGAAGCCCAGGTTTCTATGTGGAGCCCGTGCCTAGCCCTTTATTCGCTAGACCAGGAGCCTGATGCTGACAGACTTCAGGTCCTCAGACCCCTGCCCACCCCTGCTCTCCTTAACTCTAGACTCGGTAGTCTGAGTCAGAGTCCCCTGGACAGTTCCAGGGTGACATGGGCCGGATAAAAGAATCCAGCCTCCCGGTTGACCACAGAGACCCCGGCCTTTCAGGAATCCTGACCTGCGTCCTTATTCCTATCGGGTCCCGGAGTCTTCGGTGAACAGTCTACTACTCTCTGAGGACCCCAGGTCCAGCCCTGCCCTCTTCCAACCAGGTGTCCCCAGGGCAACTCACAAGAACTCCTGATCATCCCGCCTACCCCATCCCACTCCTAATAACAGAGCAGCCCAGAACCCTCGGGGGAAGTGTGGCATCTCCGTCCTGGGGACGCACTGCCTGTCCTGCCCCTAACAACCTCTCTGGAACGTCCCTGTCATCCTGCCATCTTCGTCTTCCCACCAGGTCGAGAGAAGGGTCGCTGCGTGGCCTCGGAATACTTCCTTGAACCAGAGATCAACTTGGTGACGGAAAACACGGAGAATATTTTGAGTGAGGGGAAGAGGGGGGAGGTGCCCAGAAAACTAGCGGGGTCACGGGAGGAGGGACAACGTTGGGAAGGGGAGGGGTCCAAGAGCAGAGGCTAGAGGAAACCCGAGTGGAGGGAGAAGGGGCAGGTTGAAAGGGCGGGGCCTGGACGGGGAGGAGTCGCAGGAAAGGGGAGGGGAGGGGTCAAGCCCGGGGTGTGACCTGGAGAAGGGTGGAGTCAGCCGGGAAGTATCAGGAAGGGGAGGAGTCAACGGGGAAGGGGAGGAGCCGAAGGGACGAGGGTGATGAGAGCTTGGGGAGGTGTCCCACTGGAGAGTCCCCCTCACCCTGCCTCTCACTGTCCGCCTCTCCCAGAGACAGTGCGCACGGCCACTCCCTTCCCCATGGTCAGTCTGTTCCTCGTTTTCACGGCCTTCGTCATCAGCAACATCGGCCACATACGCCCTCAGAGGACCATCCTAGCCTTCGTTTCTGGCATCTTCTTCATCCTGTCAGGTGAGCTGAAGGAAAGAACTTGTAAGTTGGGGAAATTGTTTCAAGTGGCCCCTCTCCCACTTAGAAAGCTGTTTCCTTGCTGTGTGTCTTGGGAGGAGTTGCAGAACCTCTCTGAACCCCACTTTCCTTCTCCATGAAATGAAGCTATCACCGTGCCCACTGCACAGCATTGCTTAGAGAACCAAATCATAGCAGATGCGTATTGGGTGCTAATAAGCTGCCCTGCTCTGTTCTGATACAACAACCCTGTGAGGTGAGTGCTATTAATAGCCCCATTTTACAGATATGGAAGCAAACACTCAGAGGAATGAAGTCATTTGCTGAGGGCCACACAACTAGTGAGAGGCAGAGCTGGGAATCAAAGGCACGCCAGTCGCCTCCAGAGCTGTATTTTTAACCACCACTGATATTTTAGTAATTAACAGTTTACAAAGCTCTTTATTTTCTGTGCAACATTTTAATTTTTCTCAAAGAGAAAGTCAAAAGTTTTGTAGTGAATGCTCATGTGTGCAGGACTTGGGTCAACGATTGGCGTCTTGCTAGATTTGTGTTATCCTATATCTGTTCCTCTGTCTATATTTCTAACCCTCCATTCATCTCTCTTACTTTTTAGATGGGTTTCAAAGTAAATTTCAGGTGTCTGTTCACTTAACCCTAAACACTCCACTGTGCATGTTGTTAGCTAGACTTCTGTATTTGTATACAGTTCTTTTTCCTTTCTTTTGAGGTTAGAGGCTCTTTGTATGATCTCATACTCCTCTCATGATATCTCTCAGAGTTGTTATCATCACTTGCTTGATAAAGCGGGGTCGTGAGATCCAGAATTGTGTAGAGAGTTGCCCAAGAGGGCTGGGGATACAGCTGAGTTGGTAGAGTGCTTGCTCTGCATGCACAAAGCCTTTGGGTTCAATCCCCAGCACCACACACCACACACACACACACACACACACACACACACACACACACAAAGAGTTGCCCAAGATACCAGACTAAACTGGTACCAGATGACTCAAGGGCTCAGACTTCCAGTAGACTTCACTCTGGATTTTACCCTTCCAAATTTCAGCTCGGTGCAGTCCACTTCAGTCCAGCTTAGCCCAGTGCAGCTCAAACATGGGAGGCCTGTCAGTCCAGTCCAGCTGACCCCAATTCATCCTGACTCAGTTCTCCAATTCCATTTGAATGAATTTGCCACAATTTAATTGAGCTGAAGTCAGGTACTTGCAGCTGAGCTGATGTTTGATAAACAAACCCTGCCATGTGTCTCACCTCCACGCTGTCCCCCTAGAGCTGCCCTTGGCCTCGTCTTTCTGGTTGACTGTGCAGAGTTGAAGAAGCCTCTTCAGTGTCCCCTCCTCCAGGCTCCTCCCTGCTCCTCACCCAGCTCTCTAGCCACACCTCCCCCGAGCCTTCAACCTCGCCTGACGAGACCTTTTCCAGGGAAACCAGGGTGCAACCTCTGAGCAAACTCAGATCACGGCATGTGGAGCCAGACTGAGCTAAAATAAGACATGTAGAATATCACCATCCCAGAGTGTCAGAGCAGCAAGGTCTCATCATTTTTCAGATAGAAAAATAGTGGCCTAGAGAGAGAAAGTGGGGCAGGAGTAGGTAGCATGGGGAGTTTTATTCAACCTACCCAAAAACGTTAGGAGGAAAGCCCCATTGTTTGCAGTTCACAGAAATGGAGAGGGACTAGAGGAGGTGACAGCCAGTCAATGGAACTGGGATTAGAACCAAGGGTATTCTCCCAAACCACGTGTTCACACACCACTGCACCAGGAACTGCCTGCCCAAGGTCAAGCCGAGAGTCAATGATGCAGTCAGGGCTGGACGTCAGACTTCTGATCCAACAAGAGTCACTTGGAAGAGATCAAACCCTATGTCTGAAACTCTTCCTTGAGTTTATTTCCGAGACTACAACCAAAGTGTTCTATCCCAGGGAACCATTCCTGTGTCCTCAGGCTTATGGGGTACAGTGGGTAGAGGCACAGGAGGCGAACCTAGAATGACCGGGGTCCAAATCCTACCACTAACACTTCCTAGGTGACTTAAGACCTTCTCTTGCTGAATTGTTGCCAATAACACTTCATTTATGGACCCTGAAATTTTAATTTGATGTAATTTTCATGTGTCATGAAATAGTGTGCTTCTTTTATTTTTATTTTTCCCCACCAGTAGACCAAAAAAAAAAAAATTCTTAGCTGGTAAACCATACAAAAACACTTGGTGAACCAAACTGTAGTTGGCCAACCCCTGATCTAGATCATGGGTGTAACGTTCCTGGACTGAAAGAGTGCGTACTCAACATGTAGGGGAAATAAATGAACAAACACTGAAATGCAGAAGTAATAGCAGTCACACAGAGTGCCGTGGGGCCAGCAGTTCTGAGCACTTTATACAAATTAAGTTATTTATTTGTCTTGACTTACAAGGCAGGTACCATTATTATCTCCATTTTACCACTGAGGAAACAGAAATACTCAGAGGTTAAGTTTTTTGCATTAAAAATGGATTCCAACCCAGGCCTCCCTCACCATGGCATTACCCTGCCCCACTAAAATTTTAAAAATTCTAAAAACAAAGGACCTAACACCAGTATCTTAGATCTTGGAACAGAATGACCTGGTCCAATCACCTCATGTTCACAAAGAGGACTCTGAGTCTCAGAGACACACAGGAGTTGCCCGAGGAGGGTTTATTGATGGATTTGGCACTTGGTTCTAGAGAAAGCAGTAAGGGCTGGGGCCGGGGAGGGAGAGGGGCATTGCTGGGGGTTAAACATCCCTCAGGAACTGTTCTGGGCATGGACTAGGGGAAGGAGACTGGAAGTGGTGTCACAGAGGAGGTGGCTCCTATAGTGGCCCATGCAGGGGCCGATGAGGTCTGTGTGGGATGGAGGTGTGGGCATAGGGGCAGTTGGACAGTTGTAGGAGAGAAGGACATCACAAGGGGATCAATGGAACCACATGACTTGCTGGGGGTGGGGTAGAGGGCATTGATTTTCTTTTTCTAGGCCATAAGAGGCAAGCACATGCACAAGCGTACACACGCTGCTCTCACCCATGACCTGTACCTCTGCTCACTCGTGCAGTCATGGGGCATCCTGTGTGCCAGACCCGGTGCTTGGCCCTGGAGATACAACCCACTCTAAACAGGAATCCAGATATAATCTGGGCCTTGGTCAGAGCCTGTCACCACCAACTCGATTCCTTTGGGTGGACTTAAATACAGAATGCCTACTCCAGCCCACAAGCTCTTCCACGATCTGGCTGCTGCTCAACCTCTGACCCCACTTCCTAACCCACTGGCACTCTTGACTCAGAACATGGATCGCAGGCTGATCTTGGGATGTCTAACCCACGTTCCTCTCTGTGTGGGTCGCTTGCCCCTCGTCCTCAAGGGGCTCAGACCTGTTTCTCTTCAGAGCTGCCTTCTCTAACAAGTCCAGCAGCCCTTATGTGTCTTCATAGTATTTACTGCTGTTCTCGTCTTGTGTGTTTCAGCCTCTTTCTACCAGAATGTAAACCCCAAAGGGCGCGGACCTTTCCAAACCTGTGCTTGCTTGTCTGCAGAGCCTGGATGAGTTGCCGGTGGGATGTAGACGCTAGAGTGTTTGCAGAATGGAGGAGTGTAGAAGGGGGAGTGACCGCTCAGGGCGTTCTGGAAAAGGGGAGATGCATTCACCCAAGACAGTCGGGTGGCATAGGCAGTGGCCAGGGAGGGCTTCCAAGAGGAGGTGGCACCTGCGTTGGTGCTGAAAGGGCAAGGGAGGATTTTTCCAATGAAGAAAGGAAATTGCCTTGTATGGAAATGTTCATAGCATGTGTAGAGGCACGGGAGCAGCTGTCCATGGTGCTGAAACCCCATTGTTCTGAAGCCAGGTTGGTTCTATTCAGCTTGATTTTGCCTACTGTGATCTAAGAATTATGGAGCAGGTGTAGTCGAGGGAGTGGGAAGAGAGTATGAGAGCTAGATTACAGAGACAGGAAGGGGGGAGGGAGGGAGGTGTGTGTGTGTGTGTGTGTGTGTGTGTTCTGGAGAATCAGAGCCATGGTGAAATGGCCAGGATGGAGAAAGGAAAGAATGGCTTATTTTCTAAAAAGCTTTTTCCTCATTGGAGATATTTGCTACAGACCCTGCTTCTGGCTCTGCTGGTGGGGACTGTTGGCTACTTAGTACTGTAAGGTAAAGCAGGGGCTCACCTCCAGGCTGGAGTGGGTGGGAGGCAGGGTCACCAGCAGGAACTGGATCAGCCCTGGACTTCCAGGCTGAAGGTGGATGCCTCCCCTGTGGGAAGCAGGGAGCCGAGAGGAGCTGAGAGCACAGAGGGCTAGAGTCCATCCTGTTTTTAGAGAGAACCAGTATCTGAAGCAGGATGATAAAGATTTTGAAACAATGACACAGGCATAGAGAATAAGGGCCAAGCTGGGCTAGGCACCTGGGGCTGCAGGGAGGGTTTTGATACATGAAGAACCCAGAAATAAAGTGGACCATTTGGTGGGTGATGACTCTTTGTGGCGTAGAGAGAGAGGGATGGAGATGACCCCTGCATTTGGTTTAGGCACTGAGTGGGGCTGGCATCTGGGCTTCCTTGGTATTCCTTCCCTGTAAACCTGCCTGTCTTTCAACCCTGTCTCAAGTTCCACTGGATAGCACTTCTCAGGCTCTCTCTCCCCAAGTGTCGAAATTATGGAATACTAGAGGTCAGAAGTGCTATGGTGTCCAGAGTGAGGAAAGTTTCATTATTAGAAGGGATGAATGAATAGTGGGATTTGGAGTGAATGAAAGATTAGGCCAGGCACCGTGGTGCCTGCTTGTAATCCCAGCTACTCCAGAGGCTGAGGCAGGAGGATGGCAAATCCTAAGCAGCCTCAGCAACTTAGCAAGATTCAGAATAAAAAAATAAAAGGGTCAGGGTGTAGCTTAGAGTGTTACCTGGGTTCAATCTCCAGTGCACAAAAATATATGTTAGTTAAGATTTAAAAGAAGAGACAAAG